AAGAAAGTGGACGAATTCGCCAAAAAATACTTGCTCTGGCAGGCCATATGCCAATGCGGTAAACTGAATAAACCGTACATCACCATGGGTACCATCAACAGCGAAAATTACCGCACCGAGTGCCTCCAGAAGCTTCTGTCACCCTTCCTGCGGTCCCACGGAGGCGAGACATTATTTTGGCCGGACCTAGCATCATGCCATTACGCGCGATCAACGTTGGATTGGTACAGAGACAATAACGTTGTTTTTGTACCAAAAACCGCCAACCCCCCAAATTCACCAGAGATTCGTCCGGTGGAAAGATTTTTAGCCATAATGAAGGCCAAAGTTCGAAAATCGTCCAAGGTGTTTAAGAACGAGCTGGAGTTGAAGAAAGAATGGATGAAAGTGATCAAAAAGGTCGGCTCCACCATTGCACAAAATGCATAAGGTGCGGGCTTTCAGCGATGGAAAGGAAATTGAATAAAGTAATTATGCCGAAACATAATCCATATGTATTAGTTCATTCCCTGAAAATTTCAAGAAAGTCCGACTTAAAATAAATTTTTGGCGAACACTTTTGTCTGATGCATTGTTTTCGAGTACAGGCCTTAGCATTAGACTCCTTGGATTTCACAAAAATAACTGATTAAGTTATCATTGAAAACATCTTGATAACAGGTCCTGTGATCCATGCCAATTTACAATTATTTTATTGATTTGGTATTGAAGCCTTACGTTGATAACTGGAATATTATTAGTAGTGTTTTTTTTCTTGCCATGCGGATAATATTTGAAGTTTTGAAATAACCTTGCATCATATTGTTTCAGGATAACAACTGATAACAAAATTAGTCGAGGTTGATAACTAAATTAGTTATGCGATAACAACTGAAAACAAAACGATATCTGGAATAACAAGACTTGTTTTCAAGATGATATCAGGTTATAATTTTACTTTGCTCGGGCAATGCATCAACAAAACTTTGCTTTCTTTCTTTGCTGCTGATCCGTTTTTTGAGGTCTGTTAAGGCCTTATTTCTGATGAATCCCATCTTAACTTAAACATTTTGAACACAAATATCAGTTCCAGTAATAACAATACGAAAATCGATCCCAACGTATGCTACAAACATGGAGCTACATCAACAGTTTCCGAGATTTGTACGTTAGACAATTTGAAGTGCCATCCAAGGTTGCAAAGACTCATTTCAGCTAAAACAATGTTTTTCTAAATTATGAAATAATTAGATACCATGATCAAATTTTGAATTGGTAGGATACAAGAAGAGGTTGCAAAGAATGTGTTTGACATATTAAACCTGTTTATTTCACTTCATGAGAGTCACAATCATCGATTTTTCACAAACTCACTCACTCACTCACTCACTCACTCAGCGATCAGCAAATCGCTGATTGTGACTCATAGAAAGCAAAATTTACAAGTTTTATGTTTCCAACGCATACTTTGTAACCTCTTCTTGTAAGTTACAAGTAAAACATGCCATCATACCATTTTTTGGTTTTATTATTCCGAAAAACATTATTTTAGCTGAAATGAGTCTTTGCAACCTTGGTGCCATCATGTTGTCCATATTTGGACTCCATCTAGTATTTCCTATAATTGGAACAACTCACATGTCGTATGACGAAAAGTTTCGGTCTAATGGTACTTGGCATAATGCCATTCGGCATAATGGCGTTCGGCCTAATGACCCATCACCGATTTTTACCGTTTCTCCCTATTTTCAGGCGAAATTAGCAGTTGTTTGACTCTATATGCGACTACCGGTAGATCACTAGAAGCCATAAAATGCACCGAATTTTATGGTAGAAATCCAAGAAAATCAACTACAACTTATTTCAGACTGTTCAGACTAATGAGAAGCTCATTTTGCCCCATTTTTCCCAAATCTTGTTATTTATGGCCTGTTGCCATATGCGCTGATTCACATGCTAGTGAGCCTGTCGTTCGCAAATCTATGGCTATTAGCATGGTGAACAGTTTTTTGGTGCTGATTAACATTGGCGCATCATTTTCTGGAACAAACTTGATCGGATTACACAATTTAGGATAATTAGCATTATGATTCGGCACATATGTAAATAGGCCATCAAAGGTAATTGAGAATAGCTATTCATACTGCTGCTAGATTTCCGAAATACATCACAGCTGTCAGTTTCTTCGATGGAAAGGGTTACAACATTGCCCTTGAAGCTTCAGTCATTTAATATCTGGAAGCACTGTTTATTTTACTGCAGTGCTCCTAGCGGTTGGATCTGGAATGTTTTGAAAGCAGTTTGTTTTGAAATGTTTCATCTTTCAGTGCTAGTTACGATTAATTTTGTTCAAAATCGCGAAGTCGTTGAAATTGGCTAAATCAACCGTGTCCAGTATGCTCAAACGTTTCCGTGAGCTGCATACAATCGATCGGCAGGATCATAGCATGCGTCGTAGTGGAACTAAGGATGGGAAGTTGCATTTGAAGGTGTTGAGAACGGTTAGGGCAAACCCAGGGCTGTCGGATTATGATATCGCCAAGAAATTCAGTGCCAGCCAAAGCCCCCCCGTCAGAAGGATTCGTCAGCGAGAAAAAATCTAGTGGCCAAAAGACGTGCCGGAAGTTGCACAATGAGATTCTTACAGGATGCATCCACATGGACGACGAAACGTACGTGAAGATGGATTATGGACAGCTTCCTGGACAAAAGTTCTACTAGTCGAAGGCGATGTCCCTAACAAGTTCAAATTCGTTTTTGCCGATACATTTGCAAGAAAGCTTATGATCGGGCAAGGTATTTGCAGCTGCGGACAAAAAACCCAGGTTTTCGTGACAAACACTTTTGGCCGGACTATGGTTTTTAAAAATGTACAAGCAGGAGTGCCTGAAAAAACGTATCCTTCCGTACATTAAGGCTCACAATGCAATGGACCTGTAAAGTTTTTGCCTGAATTGGCAAGCTGCCACTACAGCGGAGAAGTTCTACAGTGGTATTGAGACAACGGGATAGATTTCTTCGAAAAGGACATCAATCCACCCAACTGCCCTCACTTCCGCCCAATTGAGAAATCTAGATAGAGCTGGAATTAGGGCGTAACAGCTTTTGTAAACAATGACTTCTTTCGATGATTTCTAGAAAGCTAAGGCTCGCCAACGCAAATCAACAACACCATCGGTTAGGGGAAGACTTCCCCTACGTGACGGTTATGTTGGTTTGCGTGGGCGTGCCTTGAGTTCCTAGAAATCGTCGATAGAAGTCATTGTTTACAAAAGCTGTTACGCCCTAATTCCAGCTCTATCTAGAAATATTGGGCTATTGTCAAACAGAAGTTGAAGAAGAGTGGAAAGGTGACTCGGGATGCGACAGAGATGAAGAGATTCCTAGATATTGTCAATATTACTAAAAAGAACAAATGCTACTACAATCATGTCTGCCCAAGGTACAGGCGAGCCTGTTTATTCAGTTTGTGGCACCTTGCAGCTTTCAGCTCTGATTATGAAAAATTACTTATTTGGGACTTGTCCTCTAAATTTTCCGAGTTCAACATTTTTTGTTATTTGTTGCTAAATATGACGATGATGATGATGATGATGGTCTTACTTCTTACCCCTATAAAGGGTTGAGCTGGACGATTTATCTTTATGATAATTAAATATTACATGTTAACCAGATTAGCAAACAAAGTCGAACAGATATAAATTCCCTCTAGAGTTTACAGTTGCTTCACAGCAATATAAATGTGAAAAAGCTTAGGTGTCCACCTCTTAGTTCTCCTTTTTGTCCACCTTAAATATTCATAAGTATTACAAGTGATCAAGAATTCTTGAATAACAAACAAATCATTCTATTACACAAGCAACCCCGCAATGTTATGATTCGATGATAATTATCTGCAATGTCAGGAATGCCATAAGAACTTAAAGAAATTTCTGAGGCTACTCCTCAGGAATTTAAGCAATTTCAAACATTTGCTGCAGATTTGAAACCTTCCGCTCACTGACGCTTTCCAGGAGTAATATATGTTTTATGTTTATACGAGACACACGGAATTGTGACACTTTAAATAGTTAAGGTTCTTTAATGACCACTGAATTGGGTCAGCTACTTTGGAGTTCCATGATCAGTAATACATTAATTCCGTAAAACTAAACAGCAAACTTCCTATTCGATAAACAGAAAGTATTCCACCTGTAATGCAGCACCTTTTGTTGGTTATGAAATACATTGATTTAATTTCAAATCAAATTACAAAAATATATCCCTTGGTAAGGGAATGTCGAAATGAGAAAATTGACCCAGACTGTACCGTATTCGTTTGCTTGTAAACAAATTTGCAGCACGTTTCTTGGCATCAATTTATGATGTAATCAGATTCAAATGTAAACAGATAATGTTACCTTCCTCGGATTACCAATGCCCAGAAAAGTGCATTGCAAATTTATTTATGAACCATATCATTTTGTTTTATCTCCTTCAACCGTAAACGAACCATACTTGATGCTTTTTTTTTTGGCAAAAGATGTACATTTAAGAAACCGTAAGCCCCTTTAGTTATTCGTCTAAAAACGTAATAAAATCTTATTGGCTACCATCCTATAGCCTGGTCAATCATCCTGAACTCGTTGTTGTTGCCATGACGAACGCGAATGGCTGTATAAAAATACAAGGATTCGAAGTTCGTCGGATGAGTGAAAATCACAATTGTATTAGCTGAACAAGCGCAGCTGATCCCCCACTTCCCCCACCCTTCGTAGCCGCGCCGTCCCTGTTGCTCATCGCGACACAGCCGAGGGACATTTTGAAAATGCGCGTTTTCTTGCATTGCCATCACCTTCAAAAACGAATAAGGCATCACACTACTGCATTTTTCGACGAATGTCACGAACGTATTACGCCATATTCTGTCACTTACAATGTACAACAACATTGCTTTATTACACGATTTGAAATGCATTCCTGACAGACACTTTGAACACGGTTGACGCACTACTTCTAGAAGCTTCTCGGCTAGTACCTACCCGGGTGATGATCAGCGGAGCGTTGAGGTCGGTTCCACCAACCAGCCGGATTCCCCATGGAATCTGAGGAGAATTACGCGTCAGTATGACCAGGAACTCGTGCGGCTTCGGACTCATTGCTTCGCTTTACTCTGCTCTTTGAACACTACTTTCCTTTCCTTCCGGATCCGGCAAGGTCAACGACTTGGGTGCAGATAATTTTCAAAATTCACTTCACCACGGACACGCAAATTTTTCGCTTTTGCAAAAGTTGAGCAAAATTTCTTCTACAACTTAAAATATCACAGCTTTTCTTGATTTTTTTTTTCCTGTCACTTCTCTCTCACTCTTATATCACTTGCTTGTTTCGAATTTTCACCTTTCTGTCACCTTCCTGTTTTTCGTTGTGATTCCAAGTGAAAATCAAATCGCCACCAATATACAACTAGAATTGACTACTTAAATCTATCGTTTCCGTTCGAATCAATCAAATTTCAAAGCTCCGTAATGGATCAAAAATCGTAACGTAATAATTTTCCACCGTTTTCCCGTTTGTACCCCTGTGCATTCGCGGAAGACCGTGATCTGACCGTCCGAAGAAAAAAGCACCGTTTGAGAGTACGGGCCGAAATTCTCTTTTATCTTTTCGACCCGAGGCACACGACAACTACGACGACGGTGACGAAGACGCCACTCAAGCTAGCAGGCACTCGATCGCACGGATCCCACCGACCGTGTAGTCCGAGCGGGGAAATAAATATACATTTTCTTATTTTAATCGCCAGGAAAGTCACTCAAGTATCATCTACCTACTAGGCTCTGTGAAATTTCGGTTGAATCGCGACAGAGTGCGCTTGAGAGATCGCGCATCACACGATCTCAAGTACTGGCTGCCAGCAGGGGTTGTTGTGGATGTTTGGTGTTCGTTTTGTGGGAAATTCAAATACTCCTCGTCATCATCATCATCATCATCAGTAAGAGCAAGTTTTGTACATTTAGTCTGCCGAGTTTCGAGCTGCGCGGGTGCTGAGTGCAATCCGAATCTGCAAAAGGTCTGCTGACCAACTAGTGCGGGTTAGTGCGGGTGGTGATGGGATGAAAAATACGACGAATTAGTATTAGGATGATTTGTACGAGCGTCTGTGATGGTGGCGATGTAAACACGGTTGATGATCTCGTTAAGAATCGTAAAAATGACCCTCGGGAACAGCCGTTTTCTTTTTCATATAGCATGAGAAGAAGAGTGGTTTCCATGATTTAGGAGGTGTATCAAGGTGAAGAAGTTTCGCAATGCTTCTCCAAGATTGAGATGTGCGCTCCGTGGTTTAGATTCCTTAACGATATGGTATGTGCTTAATTTATTGGATATTTTACCAGTTGTTGAATAGAATGGTAAATTAATATATATAGCAATAATAATCCGCGAATTATTACTGGAGTTTCTGTACATGTGCTGGTCATGTAGATGTTCTAATTGCTTTCTATGTCAACCTAGTCAACTAGTGTTCATATTTTTTTTTTAAAAACAAAATCTTTGATTCCTCAAGCTTTCTCAAATTGTTGAACTGGTTCAAATTTGAAGTTAAGTTATTGCCTCGTTTCCTTCGTCCTTCGGAATAATTTCTCGCCCTCATTCTTAAAAGTTATGTTGTTGTGGTTTTCAGTGTTGTAAACGGGAGCTTATTCCGCCAAAAGACGTTTTGCCCATGGTCATTCCGCCGAAGAACATTTCGCCGTCAATAGTCCTTCACAGTTATTCCGAGATTAACAATTCACGTAAACATGTTTGAGATCCAGGATTTGAAAGTTTCATGAGATTTGTTTTCCTTATTAAATGAAGGAATACTACTCGTTCTTTCTTTAAATTTAACGCATATTAATCAATAAGGAAACTTCTTTCTTTCAAACATGAGCGGCTCTTTAAAGATTTGTTATTCTCATGGTGACCAGTAAACCGGGAAAATCGGGCAAACGCCGGGATTCTGAAGTCACCGGGAAAAAATATAGGGAGTTTTGGGAAGAACTTTTAGAAAGCTTTGATTAGATTTCCAAGTCAATTGTTTGAGTTTAGGTAGTTCTGGGGGAAATTCTATGGTGATTGTAAAGGCGATTGCAGGTCCATTTTTAATGAATATTCTAACTAGGTTCTGAGAAGAATTTTTAAAGCGCTCTGATGAGATTTCCATGGCGATTTCGAGGGTATTGTATTATGTTGTGTGTTTCCATTTCCAGACCTTTTTCACTACCTGGTAATTGGGAAACAGCAAGTGGTTCTTCCCGGGAATTGGCAAATAATCAGAATGTTTCATGTTTTATTTTTTGTTTAACGATACATGAAGGTTTCTGCATTTTCCGGAAAATGGCTTCCGACTTCTCAAGAGGTTTTTCCCCTTCCTTTCTAAGAAGTGTATTGTGGCATTGCCCGGAATATTTTCCTTTTTTGACGTAGAACTACGTCTTTGTGGACTGTACTGGGGTGCAACAAAAAAAATGTGGTGAAATAGTGTTAGGTTTTGAACGCTTGTAACTTTGTCATTTATAAATGAAATTAAAATCCAAATACGCCAATCGATAGAAAATAACTCTATAAATCTGCTGAAGTAAATACTTTTCAAATTTTCCTTAAAAAAACTGTTGAAAAATGTATAAATGTTAATTTTATCACTGTTTTCATGAAACAATCATTTTTCCCAAACCCAGTCGTCATAATCGAGCCCCACTTGTGGCAGCACATCGTTCTGCTCGAACCTGAAAAGTTATAAAACAGCGCTGCCGCCGTGCCTCTGCTCATTTCGTGAAGAAACATTTTCTTCGCCGCGGACGGCGTGATCACCTTGACAACTAGCGATGGGTTGGTAGGAGACTCATCTCTTCAACGAGCTGTTTTTGCAAGCTAACCGCTCCTACCCTATATCATCCGATCTGGCGGTTTTCCATATTGATCTCGCTCTCTTATTTATCTCTCATTTATGGAGAGTCAGCCGGATGATATCGGGCAGGTGTGGGATGAGCTTTAACACTCCGAACAAGATGCCTCCAGTAAAATGTGTAACGGTAAACTTGCAATAATTGAAAATTCATAGTACAACCATTTATTGACGAATTTTAAATATATTGGCGCCACTCGAAACTACAGACTTTAAACATTTATTCAGTATGAATAGGTTTAAAATGTATCGATAAATTGCTGAGCAATGATTTTTCAAACATTGCCAATTCGCCGTTACACATTTTATCGGAGGAATCGTGTTCGGAGTGTTAAAAAAAGAACGATGTCATACCGAAGCTCATTTTTGCATCGGACAACGTAGTGGACATCGAACAATCCGTCTTTTTGGCGCTGTTCATAAACTACGTAGACAGTTTTTTGGGATTATTGACCCCCCCCCCCTCCCCCTGCGTAGACAATTGTCCTTACAAAAAATATAAAATTTGTATGGGTCGTGGGTGATTGTCAACCCCCCCCCCTCCCCCTAAACTGTCTACGTAGTTTATGAACAGCCCCTTTATAGAAAGAGTTATATTTCTGGGATAAATCGGCGGTATTGACCGATTTTTAGTGAGACTAAAATATTATTTACCTCTTGGGTCCCCTCCCCCCTATAACGGCAACTAAAAAGACATGCAAATCAATTAAATGGTGTGACGAAATAGTGTCAGGTTTTGGTCGCTTATATTTTACATGGTTTATGAATGAAATTCAATTTTAATTACACAATTTTATTCAGATTGAATGTATTTGTTTTGATGATAAGATTTGTTTGGAATAATAATTGTTTATAGTTGTTTATCAATGGTTAAATATTGAAAATTGATCAAAGTTTTTAACCGTAATCATCCAATGCTCGTTTGCTATGACTATGGAGAGAACAGAGAGACGAGCTGGTACCACTCAATACTCAATGTTATTTATGTTTTGCTTTTTTTCTATCATTGACGTACAACAGCAAATTACCGAAAACAAGCTGGGATTTAGAATGCTAATCTAAATGCTTAAATAAGGGAAACGTAGAACATCGTTTGACTGCCGAGTGCCGTTGTACACTGAAAACGAAACTAACTAAGAGAGTGAGTAACCTACGCGAATGAGTAAAAGTGATGCACTCTCTGAGTAAGATTCATTTTCACTGTAGTTTTCCATCTAACCTAGAAAAAAGTGATTCAGAATGCATAAGGGGCCTATTGGATGATCAAGCTCAGTGTGCAATTTCCATAACATTCTACGTTTTAACTTGACAGCACGTGAAATTATTCAGATGGACAAAACCTATCACATGATTGACCTCTCAGTTCAGAATTCACTCACCATGCAGTGCTCACTGAAAACGAATCTTATTCAAAGAGTGAGTCACCTTTCCTCATTCGAATGGATAAATTTCCAAAAGCGTAGGTTACTCATGCGCTGAGTGACCTACAATTTTAGAAATTTCTCCATATGAATCAGTAAAAGTGACTCAATCTATGAGGTTTAGTTTTTCTGTTTGATAATTTCTTATGAAATTTTCACCCGATTCTCCCGAAGTTTCTCCCGACATCTCCCAGAAATCTTTGTGCCACTTAAAACTCTTCTCGATTTTGTTGAAAGTTTTTCCGACCTTTCCAGAAGCTTATTCTTCTGATCATAGGAGATTTTTTTTCTAGCTTCCTTCGTCTTCAGTCAACTTTTCCAACTTCAGGAACACTTTTTTTTTCAAATTCTCACAGATTTCTTCTTTGAATTCAAACTCCAAACTTTCTTGAAAATCTGTTTAAACTAAAACTGAAGGTTCTCTCGAGGCTTTCGACTTCGCTAGAAGTTGTAACTGACTGCTTCCGGAAGTTTCTTTCCACATCCACAAGATTTTTGGGACTTCGCATGGAACTGTCTTAATTTTTTTAAATAATTCTTTCTGGCTTTCCCTAGATGTGATTTCGCCATAAGTTTTTCGTCCATAAATTTGTTCCGACATATTTCGAAAGTTTTCTTCAACATCCTCAAAAAGAATGTTTGCCATTAAGTAAAAACGTTTGTGGCAGTTGAGTTATTGTTTCACCCAAAATAGCATAGTTTTTAACGTTAAAAAGTTTCTTTTAAAAACCTAGAAAATTTACGTTGAAGTCCTGAAAAAGCCTGGAAAAATTTAGGCAATTTTATTTAGCGAAGTGAGTAGACACAGAAAATTTACCATTCTAGGATTTTATTTAGCTGACGATTTTAGGTAAAGTTATTGACGAAGTCTGCATTTTCCCTACACACTAAAAAAATCTGAATTTTACTGGTGATGTAACCATCCATGCCTGCAAACATTCATGCATGTAAACTTCCTTTTAACGTAAACTAGCAGCTTGCAAGAAATGTTGCAAACAAAGGTGGAAAGTTGCATACAATATATGGAATATTGCATGACATGTCTCATAAATTTACACGATTTATAATGTAAATTTGTATGATTTATGACGCACCATTTATGTGCATCATAATAACGGAAATTTACACTACTTTTTTTAGCTGTGTAGATAATTTTTTCTGAAACTCCTCACAAGATTCATTTGAATTATCGAAAGAATTTCCTTGGAGTCATCTCAAAATGTCTTCTGAGTTACTGTCAGGATTTCCATCAATGATCTTATGAATATCTCTGGTATTCCTTTGAATTTTCTCCACACTGA